GCACCTATAAATATATTTAGTCTTAAAACTACCTAAATTTGGTTAACGTTCCTCTGACCAAGGATCTGAACTGCCGTTCACTTAGAGTTTGTATACTTCTGGAAGTCAAGCTTCCTCTGTGCAAGGTGCCATGTGACCCGTCACATTTCTACATGCTTTGATAAAAAAATATTCACATTTTACTTTATCGTATAACTTATACCAAGGATACCTCCCTTTGAAAGTCTAATTCATAACCACACTTAGAATTGTATCACATGATTGTATCACATTTGATCGGCGTTAGTACAAGTTACAGTACTTACTGTAACTGCAGCGGGGCTGCCGTAGCTTTGCGCTTGAGGAAGCGTAACTTAGGTCACCGACTTTTTGTTTTTTCAAGAACCAACACGAGTGTAGCGGATCGCAATCCGCTACCTCCAAGAATAATTAGTACCTTAACTCAGGCTAATAAACTCTTCGGTTCAAATCCAAAACTAGATTTTCATAAATATATACAGTAAGATCTAAATACATGCATGACTACTGGCTACCTAGCCACATACCGTATTCTTGTTTGGGTGCAGTCACAACATGCCCATCTCGTGTGACACACACCCCTGTTACCAGGATACGTGTAACCTCGTTACACTCTCCCCATTAATATTGAGAACATTTGCCGTTCCAATCGATTATTGCCTCAACGAGGCTCGCGTGTCCGCTAGACACTGCCATTTAATTCATTGGCATAAAACGACTTTCGTGCTCATTGAGCCCTGTGACAACGACACCGAAGCAACCAAGTCTCGCTGATTCTGACAGCGAACACGGGCAGAGCCCAACTTCGCCTCCCGCACGCGGTGCAATGTCGGACAGTGCGTTCGCGGCACCGGGGGGCGTACATCCTGGGCTCGATGAGCACGAGCGTCGCGCTCTGCGCACGCGTTGAGGATGTGGAGGTGGTCGACTACGAGTCCGACACAGCTTTTCCCGCATGGGATGACGAGGAAGGCGAGCTGCGCAAGCGGCGTGCTACGAGCCCTGCTCGCGCCTTGTGGATCCCATGTTCGCTCCCTGACTTCTCGTCGACAGAGGAACGTGGTGTAATCACCAATGACCTCGACGGGGCTCAGAGGCGGCAGCTTGAAG